CTTGAAGTCTGTTCTAGAATAAACGAAAGGAACTCCAAAAGAACCATCTTGATCCTTACTTCATTAGAGTAGCAGACAGAAGTTGTAAATGAAGGAGGGCTGTAGGACAATGTGCATGGAATGCTTGTTCTTGAGTTTGAGAGAAACAAATTTTAATCTTATTAACTATTCCTGAATGTATATTTAGGGTTGTCACAAAGGAAAATACTATTCCGAACTTACATACTGTATCCCTATGTAGCCCTGTAATATGTTCATTTGAAAAGGGGTCAAGTGTCCCAACTTGCTACACACTTCTAAACATCTAAGAAGTTGATATATTAGCATATTGCTAAGGTGCCATCCTGCATCTGCCAAGAGTATATCTTGTGCTGCGCTCTCAAAAAGGAGCTGCCCAAGAAGAGCATGGAGTAGAGCAATGACATGGTTTATGATATTTTTAAAACATCATCTTGAATGTTCAGTGTATAATAGATTGGCAAAGAGAAAGAGTGGGATTGTAGAGATGTCTTTCAATAGTTAGGTGAGTGATGAAAGCGCCTTAGACAAGAGAGGTCACAGGAGACAGAATTTCCATTTATCTTGAAAGTAAACTATAAGAATTGTTAGTGATTTGGGGCTGTGGTTCAGATAGTAAGAGGTTATTCTTTATTATTTTTTATTTATTATATTGTTTATCAGTGTGTACTTTTTTGCATTTGGTATTTGAGTGTGTGTGTGTGTGTGTGTGTGTGTGTGTGTGTGTGTGACTTTACTTTTCTGACCATTAAGAAAAGTTCAGAAACTTTTCTGACCAATAATCATCTTTATGATGCCTTTAACTTAATTATGACATATATTCTCTCAAGGAAATTAACCATTTCATTTTAATATGTCTTGAAAGTATTTTCCCATCTTGTCACTCTCCTTTTGCTTTTGTTTATAGTTTGACTGGATTGCCATTATAGAATTTTTCATTTTAATTTGCAATTATCTGGCTTAAAAAAATGTACCACTCTAAGAATCTTTTATGCCTCTAATCTAAATCTCAGGCCAGTTGCTGGAATTCATGCCAGTAATGCCAGCACTTTGTGAGGCCAAGGGGGGAAAATCACTTGAGCCCAGGTATTAGCCCATTCTCACACTGCTATGAAAAAATAATCTAAGACTGGGTAATTTATATATTTTAAAAGAGGTTTAATTGATTTGTAGTACTGCGTGGCTGGTGAAGTCTCAGGAAACTTAAAATCATGCAGAAGGCACCTACCTCTTCACAGGGTGGCAGGAGAGTGAGTGCTGAGTGAAGGGAGGAGCCCCTTATAAAACCATCAGATTTTGTGAGCAGATTTTGTGAGAACTCACTATCACAAGAAAGGCATGGGGGAACTGTCCCAATGATCTAATCACCTCCCATGAGATCCCTCCCCTAATATGTGGGGATTACAATTTGGATTACAATTTAAGATGAGATTTTGGCAGGAACACAGTCAAACCATGTCAGTCCAGGAGCTTGAGACCAGCCTGGGCTGCACAGTAAAACTTACACCTGTAGAAGAAAATTAAAAATTAGACAGGTGTGGTGTTACACACCTGTAGTCCCCACTTGAGAGGCCAAGTGGAATGATCACTTGAGCCCAGGAGGTCAAGGCTGCAGTGAGCCTTGATCCATCACTGTATTCTAGCCTCAGCAACAGAACCAGACTGTCTCAAAAATAAATAAATAACTAAAGCTAAAGAAACAAATGCCTTTGTGGACTTGTTGAAAAATTATGTCCTCTCTCCTCCCTAAATTTAAAGATATTTTATATCTTTGGGGAATAATTTGTAACTCAGATCATAAGCTTTACTCAAAACAAATTTGATTTCTGATTTCTCACGAAATGTTTTTATTATGAAAAGATCAAATTGCTCAGAAACGTATGCTACATATATATTTGATTATGCTTTTTTCCCCAGAATGTCAAGTCTCTATGATTAAACTTGATAAGCAGTGTCAGATTCCCTTGTCAATTAGTTTATTCCCTGCATCTCTAAATAAATAAAGGAAATTCAAGAAATCCAATTATCCCTTTTACATTTTATTTTGGTTTAAAAGATATGAACAAGAGACAACTCATGTCTTCAGGAGAGCCGCTATTAATTCCAAATACTGAACCAAAAGATTTCTATCCATATGGAGGGGCAGAACAATTTCTCACATTGGGTTGCATGAGCTTGAGTGATTTTTTACCTTCCTAAAGCAAGCTTTGACTCAGTGACTGGCTCATGGCATTGTAAGTGTTTATATCCTGACTGAATAAATGAATCTTGTGCTGATGAAATGACAGTTATATAAATATTTGATTATATAAAATTACAATAATTATTTGTAAATTTCATTTAGTTGTTCAAAACATGTGATCAAGTAAGAAATCAAAGGAGCCACAGATATGTATCTCATGGAATAAGGACAAGACAAAGAAATTAGATAAATTAATATATTTTATTAATATTTACATGCCTTTTTCATAAAATGTATTTATAAGTGGACTCTCAGAATTGTCTTAAATATTTTGGGGTTTGCTTTTCTATATAATTATATTTATGTTATAAAGAAATTAGTTTTCATTTTATGCAATTTGATCATAATGTTTTTCCTTGTGCCTCCAAGCCTGTAACTTCTATATTTTTTTTTGTATTTTGAACCAACTTTTATATACTTTTAAATGTTTATTTTTACCCCATCTCAATCTTATTCACTTAATGCAAAATAATGGAAATAGTTTATTATTTGAGTTCTTTCCTGAAGAACATCAGGATAAATAAAGGCTATCCATATGAGTTTTTGCAAAATAATACAATCATTTCTCAAACAAACACTCTCCTACCTAATAATCTATGAGAAAGAGAAATGGTTGCTGTGAAAAACCCAATCTAAATTTTATATGGTTCTTACCATCTTCTAAGGTATCCTTGGGCACAGTTTAAAATGTGTAGTTTGCCCTTCTATTGTCAATGTTTTAGGTAAGCTTCTGAAAAGTGTAGAATAAACTCAAATAATATACACAATACTTTTCAAGAAACAGTTTGATCATATGTGCTAATTTTGTGATAAATTATCTTTGGAACTAAAGAGGTTTACAAATGAATTTTGAAACTTGGGTCCCATTGTTTAATGCATCACTTTATCTTCAGTTTTCTCAATTATTTTGAATGATACATAGTAACTGGGTGACCCAGTTTCTGAGATGTCATAAATATACGTGCAATAATTAGTTTTATATCCTCTCTTCTTCATCTTTGGATCTTTTCTCCCCATGACTCCCATCAGTGAAACCTTACAACCTTGAAACAGATCCCAGTTTGTAGCTTCAAAATATTGGGTGTTTGTGTCTGTGCGTGTGTGTTAAAGAAATGTTAAAAAATTATTAAGAATGCCGTCTCCTTCATAAAAATAAATAGTCTTATTAGTCTAAGGCATATCAGTAATTCTTTATTGAACCAAGCTTGTATGAATCTCACTTAATTCTCACACACTCTTGGTGAGAATCTAAATTAGTTTAGCCACTATGAAAAGCAGTTTGGAGATTTCTCAAAGAACTGAATTGAACTACCATTTTACTCAGCAATCCCATTACTGAGTATATACCCAAAAGAAAATAAACTGTTCTATCAGAAGAACACATGCGCATGTGTTCATCACAGTACTATTCTCAATTGCAAAATTACAAAATCAACCCAGGTGCCCATCAATGATGCACTGGATAAAAACAATATGGTACACATATGTCATGGAATACTCCCACAGCAATAATTAATATCATGTTTTTTGCATCAATGTGGATGCAGCTATAGGTCATTACCCTAAGCAAATTAACATAGAAGGAGAATAACAAAAATATTACATATTCTCATAAGTAGGAGGTAAACATTGAGTGCACATGAATATAAAGACGGAAACAATAAACACTGGAGACTACTAGAGCGGGGAGAAAGAGAGGAGGGCAAGGGCTAAAAAGCTATGTATTCAGCTCTATACTTACTACTAGCATGGATGGGTTCAGTCTCACCCCAAAGCACAGTACACAGTATACCTTGTAACAAACTTATACATGTATTCCCTCAATCTAAAATACAAATTGTAATTACATTTTATTTAGTGGGAACTTCCTTTCAGTAGCCATGGTTAATAAGAAAGGTATAATACATAACATTGGATTCTTCCGTTCCTTCTGAATGTAGAATCTTGATAGTTCATGACAGGATCTACTACTTCACTCATATTTATAGTCCTTTCATAATCTTTGAATTTTGCACCCTTCAGGGTTTTCTTCTTTTTCTTCACTCTCTGTTTTTCTCATCCTCTTACTTTTTCTCTCTTTCTCTCTCCATATTTTTCTATTTCCTTCCTTCCTTCCTACCTTCCTTCCTTCCCTCTTGCCTGCCTTCCTTCCTCTTGCCTTTCTCCCTTCTTGCCTTCCTTCCTTCCTTCCTTCTTTCCTTGTTACCTTCCTTCCTTCTTGCCTGCCTTCCTTCCTTCTTGACTGCCTTTCTTCCTTCCTTCCTTCCTTCCTTCCTTCCTTCCTTCCTTCTTAACTGCCTTCCTTCCTTCCTTCTTGATTGCCTTCCTTCCTTCTTTCCTTGATTGCCTGCCTTCCTTCTTTCCTTCCTTCCTTCCTTCCTTCCTACCTTCCTTCCTTCCTCCCTTCTTTCCTTCCTTCTTTTGCTTCCTTACTTCTCAAACCAGGTTCCTTTCTCCAAGTATTATTGAAAAGATTCAGGGAGTTGCTATATGTTCTACCAATATTACAAAAATTAATAAATCTGCTGGGTCATCTCTTGACACTCCACACACACACCTTGCCCCAATTTTTAGCAGTGATAGCAGAATCTATGCTTTATATTAACAAAAATGTTTTGATGGCTTGTGAAAAGTTTAAAAAAAGAAGTTACAGTCAGAACTGGTTATTACATGCATGTCCTTCATGTTTTCCTTATTCCATAAAGCCACCAGTTTACAGAGACTAGGTCACCTCAGAAACTGACCTCTAGCAGCATCAGTTGTCCACTGTACTATTCTCACCACATATTTCCTAGGGTCCTTTACTTTTCATCTCAGGATCTGCAAGGGACATTGACTTTGTTGGGATGATGATAGCTTTGCATTGGGAAACTTCAGGAAAATCTGCAGGAAAATACAACAATGCCTACCAATTTTTTTCTAAACACATACACAATCTGAAATTCATGTGAGGCATTAGCAAAATGATCCAAGTTGGCCTTTGTCTCTCTGTCTCTACCTGTTTCTCTGCCAGTGTAAAACCAAGATGTCTATATTAGGCCTTTTTCTCATTGCTATAAAGAACTACCTGACACTAGGTAGTTTATAAATAAAAGAGATTTAATTGACTCACAGTTCCATAGTCTGTACAGGAAGCAAAGCTGGAGAGACCTCAGAAAACTTACAATAATGGTGGAAGGCAAAGAGGAGGGATGCACAATGCACATCTTACACACCCAAAGCAGATGAAAGAGAACATGGAAGGAGGTACAACATGCTTTTAAACAACCAGATCTTGTGCAAACTCACTCACTATCACAAGAAGAGCAGGCAGGCATTCTGCCACATGATCCAGACACCTCCCATCAGGCCTCTCCTCCATCGCTGGGGATTGCAATTTGACATGAGATTTAGGTGGAGATACAAATCAAAACCATATCATTTCACCCCAGCCCATCCCAAATATCATTTCTTTCTCACATTTCAAAATGCAATCATGCCTTCCAAACAGTTCTTCAAAGTCTTTATTCATTCCAGCACTAACTCAAAAGTCCACAGTCCAAATTCTCATCTGAGACAAGGCTAGCTTCTTCCATCTATAAGCCTGTAAAATAAAATAAAAAAGAAGTTAGTTACTTCCAAGATACAGTGAGGCAGATAGGCATTGGGTAAGTACACCCATTTCAAAAGGGATATATTAGTCAAAACACATGGGCTACAGGCCCCATGCAAGTCAAAAACCCAGAATGTCAGCCATTCAATCTTAAGGCTACAGAACAATCTCCTTTGACTCCATGTCTCATATCCAGGCCACACTGACAAAAAGGGTGGGCTTGCAAGACCTTGGGTATCTCTGCCTATTTGGCACTGCATGGTACAGAGTCTTCAGCTGTTTTTACCATCTGGCTTTGAGTGACTGAAGCTTTTCCAGGTACAGGGTGCAAGCTGTCAGTGTATCAACCATTCCAGGATCTGAAGGATGGTGGCAGTGTCCCAGTGAAGAGTCTGTGTTCAGGCTCCAACCCCACAGTTCCCTCTGCACTCCCTAGTGGAGGTTCTCCATGAGGGCTCCAGTCCTGTAGCAGACTTCTGCCTGGATATCCAGGTGTTTCCATACATCCTTTGAAAGGAGAAGGCTCCCAAGCCTCAACCCTTGCCTTCTGTGCACCTGAAGGCTTAACAACACATGGAAGCTGCTGAAGATTATGGCTTACACCCTCTGGAGTACCAGCCTGAAATGTATTTGTGGCCCTTTTAGCTATGGCTGGAGCTGGACTGATTGGTATGCAGGGAGCAGTGTCTCAAGGTTGCACAGGAGAGCAGAGGTCTGGGCCCAGCCTGTAAAACCATTCTTCCCTCCTAGGCGTCCATGCTTGTCATGGGAGAGGATGCCATAAAGCTCTCTGAAGTCTCTTGGCATTGTGCTAATTAACATTCAGCTCCTCTTTACTTATGCAAATTTCTGCAGCCAGCCTGAATTCCTCCCCAGAAAATGGGTGTTTCGTTTTTTACCACGTGGTCAGGCTGCAAATTTTTCAAAACATTTATACTCTACTTCCCTTTTAAATATAAGTTTCACTTCCAGGTTTTTTATTTGTTCATTAATATAAGTACAGGCTGCTAGAAGTAGCCAGGCCAGGTTTTGAATGTTTTTCAGCTTAGACATTTATTCCACCAGATGCTTTAAATCATTACTCTCAAGTTTAAAGTTCCACAGATCTCTAGAACAGGGGCAAAATGACTCCAACCTCTTTGCTAATGCATAACAAAAGTGACCTCTGCTTCAGTTCCCAGTAAGTTCTTAATCTCCATCTGAGACCACACTGGCCTGGACGTCATTGCCCATGTCACAATCAGGATTTGGGCCACAACAATTTAAAAAGTCTCTAGAAAGTTCCAAACTTTCCCTCATCTTTTTGTCTTCTTCTGAGTCCCCTAAATTGTTCCACCCTCTTCCCATTATCCAGTTCCAAAGTTGCTTCCACATTTATAGGTATCCTTGTAGCAATGCCCCTCTCTTAGTACTAATGTTCTTATTAGTTCATTCTTACATTGCTATAAATCAATTACCTGAGGCTGGGTAATTTATAAAGAAAATAGGCTTGATTGGCTCATGGTACCACATCTGTACAGGAAGCATGGCTGGGAAGCCTCAGAAAACTTACAATAATGGCAGAAAGTGAAAGGGAAGCAGGCATGTCCTAAATGGTTAAAACAGGAGGAAGAGAGAGAAGTGGGAGGTGCTATACACTTTTAACAACCAGATCTTTTGAGAAGTCACTCACTTTCATGAGAACAGCAAGAGGGAAATCCACTCCATGATCCAATCACCTCCCACCAGGTCACTCCTCCAACACTGGGGATTACAATTTGACATGAGATTTGGGAGAGGACACAAATCTAAACTGTACCAATGTCCTTCCTCCTTTCCTCTGGGCTGTGGATCAGATACCCTGTGGTTAGCTACGTGGCCACAGATCTTCCTAAAACAGAGAATAATTTTCAGGAGAAATGCAGTCTAAACCTAATATTACTAATAAACATTATATGAATACATTAGAACCAATATACTAGCCATAACTTTTACAATGAAAAGCCTAATACCCTCAACAGGAGCATCAACTATACATACATGGGATTTTTCCATTTTTCAAGAGACAACCGGTTTTTAACTGGCTTTTACCTTTAGATAAAAACCTAAAACAAAACTTTCAAGGACTTATCCAATGAGAATAAAAACATTTCAGCAAAAAAGTTTTTATATAGTAATCTAGACCACGTGACATATTTATTATCTCACCTGTTAATTTCAACTAGAAAATCTATAGGGCAGCTTTAGGGTTTAGCCTTTCATGGTGAATGAATGGTGTGATTAAGTCATTTGTCAGTGTCCTCCCACAGAGAATACCCACTGGCATTGTGTAAATATTTTGTCTGTGAAACCCCTTGAATGTCTTGATGTGGTTGTAATATTCTACTGCTTTTCAAAGCAGTTCTATTTATAGAAATCTAAGTCATCACTGAGGAAGAAAAGTGTGAAGCTTGTAAGAGGGTGTGTGATCCATCACAGACACGTTTAGTAAATCTTGTCTTGAATTAGGAACTGACATATCTTGGCTTCCAGAAATGCCAGAAGTTTTACCTTCTACTCTACAGCATAAACTAGCACATATTAATTTAGTAATTAAATACAGCAATTTCATATGTTTCCTCCTTAACATTAGGAATAAGGACCGGGACTTTTCAGATTGCTGAATCGTTCTGAGGCTGACAGAAATTATGAGGCTTAGACTTATTAACAATTCCCAAGTTTGAATTATTTTTATTGCACTCTAGACACAATTAACTAACTCTAGGGTGATCTTTAATATAAATGATAATTTCTACTGTATAAGAAAAGAACAGAGTTTGTTCTGGTGAATGTAAGTCTTCTTAATGTCATGTTTATTTAAAGATAATATTTAATTAAAAATTGTATTAATAAAACTGTTTCTAATTTCTTTGTCACGGTGTTGTGTTTTCTGAGTTTCAAGCAATGATTAGATAAGTCTAACAATTAATTTAGTGTCCACCATCATTTAAGTACATGTTTTTAAAACATGTTTTTTTAAAAGAGCCAAATAATGTCTCTCTTATTTAAGATATATTTTTCCTCAATTAACCTTCAGTGTAAAATGCTTGTTAATTGGAAAATGCCATTATTGGTAAAATGATGTATGAACTAACTCATTCTGAAAATGTCAATCATTTTCAGAAACAAAATTATAATAATCTTCAATTCTGAAAATTTTAGAAGATAGACTTTCAGGGCTAGATATTTTAAGATCAAAAGAAATTGTCAAGAACAGTAATGATTTCAAACATTACATTTTTTTAATTTGGAAACTTAGATGATCTTAATTTGCATTAAGTAAATTATTTCCATCTTGAAGCTGATTCACTTTAAAATATATATATTATTAATCATTAAGTCTTTTAATAATTTTAACACAATAAAACACAGAATTCATTTTTTTCAATTTAGTTTATACTGAATGTGTTTTCTATGACTCAAGACCTTTCTAGAAAAATTCTTGTGCTTAGGTTGCCCTGGATTTGTGCTATCTGAATTCCCTTAGCCTTCAAGTAATAGTCCTACTGAAAAGGGTGGGGGTATATTTTAACTCCAGGAGACATTAAGTAATATTTATAGACATTTTAGGATGTCATAACTTGAGTAGGTTGTATCTGGTATCTAGTGAATAGAGACCCGGAATGCTGCTAAATATACTATAATGCACAGAACATCCCTCACAAAAATAATTACCTGGTCTAAAAAGCCAGTAGTTCCCAGATTAAAAAATCTTGCATTAACGTCGGTGTACACATGAAAAATATAACTTTGAACACTGAACCTAGAATTCCCTTTGAAAGTAAATCAAAAGGCTTTGACATCATTGGTGGAGGCTATTTCAAGAAAGAGTGTTTCATTTAAGTGTTGCATTTAGTCAAGTGACTTATTAAGTTAACAAGTCAATCAACCACAAGTCTCAAATCAATAATAAAATAAGCTTCATTAGTTCCAACATTTTCTCCAAGGAACAGTTTCCTAAATCATGCCAAGTAGAAATAATGTCATATGTATGCAGGTCTTTGAGGCAAAAATAGGATACTGATTATACACGATCTTGTTATGTGATGAAAATATTGAACATACTGTTTCTTAATTACTCACGCACCCTTTCACTCTGAAATTTATCCGTGGTTTTTGCTTTTGTTTTTGTTGTTGTGACAGAGACTCACTCTGTTACCCACATTGAAGTGCAGTGGCACTATCTCAGCTCGCTGAAACTTCTGCGTCCTGGGATCAAAGGATTTGCCTGCCTCAGCCTCCCGGGTAGTTGGGATTCCTACTGTTAGGTGTGTGCCAACACACCCGGCTAATTTTTTGTATTTTTAGTAGAAATGGGTTTTCAATATGTTAACCATGATGGTCTCTACCTTCTGACCTTGTGATCCACCCACTTTGGCCTCCCAAACTGCTGGGATTATGGGCGTGATCCACTGTGCCAGGCCCGTGGGTTTTATATATTGGTAATGTCTAAAACCAGCTATAATATCAAGACAAGAAATAATGCTTAATTCAGCAATCTTTTCATAAATATGGATGTCTGAAACAATGAATGATTTTGGTTATTTAAATAATACCTCCTTTTTGTAGGATTATATAATATACATCTGTATGCATAATGTGAGATATATGTAGTTGTAAAATTATGGGTCTATGTTGATATAAAAAACAGTCAAATACAAAGACTTGCTCATGTCTCAAATGAAAAGTTAATATTGAACAAAAACTTAACAAATTAGAACTCAGGCATATCATCTATATTATGATTAACTTAATGAAAAATTGACCTAAAAGAAGAATGTAAGCAAGGATTGAATTGTTATGCAGTGTAAGAAGACTTGCATTATGAGAATTTTTCTGACATTTCTGTTGACAGACAAACGGCTTCCAGCCTTACAAATTTGTTCCCTGTCAAAAGTTACAAGAGCCAAAGGAATAATTCACCACATTCGTACTCTACACTTTCAAAACTCATTCTATCACACTCCTTTGTCATGCACTGTAGATTTTTCAGTATGATTTCGATCTATATTTTAAAATATATAACATTATTTCCTTTAGAAAGACAGAAGCCCATGAAAATTAGATATATCATAATTATTTGTGTTATCATTTCTAATATCATCCTGATCAAATAGTAGATATTCAGTAAATGCCTGGTCATGGAAAAACACATTCTTGCCTTTCCTAGTCCATTTTATTGTCATTGATTAAGTCAATTGCTTGGTGAAAAAATTATATCTAATCTATACACACCCACCCACACTCACACACATACAATTCATTTTATATAAAATGAATTGTATGTGTGTGTGTATATATATATATATAGTGAGAGAGGGGTGTGTGTGTAGATAGATAGGTAGATAGATAGATAGATATACATATATTTACATATATAAAATGATAGGTCTGGTAACCCCTCAGCCCACCAGCCTTCTACCTATCTGTGGAGATACAGTTAGTCTTGGAAGCAGCTCAGCATTCTCCATTGCCCCCCTGCTGGAGACCACTCTGGTCTTAACCCACACAAACTCTGTGTCAGAGGGAGGATGCCCAGAAGTTACAGCTCCCACACTTTTCTTTATTCAGAGGGAGTTCATTGCCTAACTTGGTTCTGCAGGTTAGTCATTGTCCATATGACTTAATTTAGTATAAAAATCAGCCTGGGCAGGACTGAATCTACCTCCAGCACTGAAGGGAACTTTATTCCTGCTTGTTTTCCCCCACGTGCTCAGGAGTAACTGATCTGGGCCAGCCTTCGATGGGCCAGCCTAGTGGCTAAAGGTGTGAGCTCTGGAGTCCAGCTGCCTGTGTTCTAACACTGGTTTCACCAAATATTAGCTGCATATTCTTGAACCATTAAGTTCATGCCTCAGTTTTCTCATCTGTAAAATGAAAATAGTAATAGTGTTTATCACATATGTTTGAAAAAAATAGACTAACATCTAGTCTAATTTTGGAGCAGTGACTATTATAGAGTAAGGATTAAATAGATGTTAGTTGTTGCTTGTATTATGATTTCTCTCAATTCTGATTACTTAGTCTGTCACAGGCAGATGACAGGTTACTCTTCCTCCGTCAGCTGTGCACTCAGCTGAGCCCTACAGTAGTAATCCGAATAGATCCAACAAGGCATCTTCGGGTTGTAGCTACTATGTTGAGGTATAGAGCATACATCTCCTAGCCCATTTGTCCTTTGAAACAAGCTCCTGTGTTTCTGTTGCCAAAGTGAAATACTTACCTACTCAGAGTGGACAGTTTGTTTTGCCTCCCCTCTAATTGGAGAACATCACCTCCTGAAATAAAGCTTCTGCTCCAAATTTGAAGTATAAGTAATGATTCACTAGAAATAAGTTTTAAGTCTCTTATAGAAGTTTCCACGTCTAAATGTTTTAATCTCCTACTAATACCTACATCAATTTCACCATTACCTGTATTAAATATACTATATTTTATAAACTTGGGCTGTACATAGTTGTGAAATCTGAAGCCCTAAAATTTTAAATAAGTAGGCCAAAGTCATATTCATAGCTGGCATCTGGACAGTTCTAGAACTCTAGAATTTCACCACACTGTGGGGGGCCACTTCCATTTTCTCTATTAATTTCTAGTAATATCACTATTTCTTTGGAGATTTTCCTTTACAGCAATGGCCAATTAAAGTTAGATGTGAACATTTTTATTGAAAAAATGTTTTAAAAATGACTATATTTTCATCAGCAGTAATTTATGGCATGTAAAAAGTTGCATAAGACAAATTTGTATGTGTATGTGACTGTGTGTGTACATGTGCACACATGTGTGAGAAATCAGAAGTTTTTCTTATTACTTTTAAAAAATTTTTTATTTTGTAGTTTAAGGGTACATGTGAATGTTTGTTATATAGATAAATCTGTGACATGGGGGTTTATTGTACAGATTATTTTGTCACCCAGACATTAAGCCTAGTACCCGTTAGTTATTTTTCTTGATCCTCTACCTCCTCCCATCCTCTACCCTCAGGTAGGCCCCAGCGTCTGTTGTTCTTCTCTACGTACCCATGTGTTCTCATCATTTAGCTCCCACTTATAAGTAAGAACATAAAGTATTTGGTTTTCTGTTCCTGAGTCAGTTTGCTAATGATAATGACCTCCAGCTCTATCGGTGTTCCTGCAAAGGACACAATCTCATTCCTTTTTATGACTGCTTAGTATTCTGTGATCTATATGTGCCACATTTTCTTTATCCAGTCTGCCATTAATTGATATAAGTTTATTCCACATCTTTGCTGTTGTGAATAGTGCTGCAATGAACACAGGTGTACATGTGTCTTTATGACACAATGATTTATCTTTCTTTGGGTATGTGCCCAGTAATGGGATTGCGGGGTCAAATGGTCGTTCTATCTTTAGCCCTTTGAGGAACCACCACACTGCTTTGCACAATGACTGAACTAATTTACACTTCCACTAATAATGTGTGTGTTCCTTTTTCTCTACAACCTCACCGGCATCTGTTAGTTTTTGACTTTTGAATAATAGCCATTTTTACTGATGTGAGACGGTATCCTACTGTGGTTTTGTTGGCATTTCTCTAATGATCAGTGATGTTGAGCTTATTTTCACATAATTGTTGGCTGCATGTATCTCTGCTTTTAAAAAGTATCTATTCATCTCCTTTGCTCATTTTTTAATAGGGTTGTTTGGTTTTTTCTCATTAATTTATTTAAGTTTCTTATCAATGCTGGATATTAGACCTTTATGAGATGCATAGTTTTCAGAAATGTTCTCCCTTTCAGAAGGTGTCTGTTTACTGTCAATAGTTTCTTTTTCTGTGAAGAAGCTCTGTATTTTAATTAGATCCCATTTGTCAATTTTTGCTTTTGTCTCAATGGCTTCTGGCATTTTAGTCATGAAATCTTTGCCCGTTCCATGTCCAGAATCGTATTCCCTAGGTAATCTTCCAGGGTTTTTATAGTTTGGGGTTTTATATTAAAGTCTGTAACCCATCTGGAGTTAATTTTTGTATATGGTGTAAGGAAAGGGTCCAGTTTCAGTCTTCTGCATATGACTAGCCAGTTACCACANATAGACTGTTTATTGATCTAATTCAGTGAGTATGTAATTATTCAGACTGTTAGTATTTAAAGTAATCTGATGCCTTTGTTTGGAGATGAAGGAAAACAATTACTGAAACAATGATATTCTTTATATCATTTTACCAGCAGTTGAGCCTGAATCATAACAGCTTACAGTGGGTGATAATGCCAATATGATGGGACACAAATGACAAAAAGGTCTGAGAAGACCTCGTAACACACCAGCAATGACAGTCATTAAGAAAATAGAAAGCCACGTTTCTCCTTTGAGTAAAAAGTTGGTAGCAATGCAGCCATAAAAAAGGATGAATTCATGTCCTTTGCAGGGATATGGATGAAACTGGAAACCATCATTTTTAGCCAACTAACACAAGAACAGAAAACCAAACACTGCATGTCCTCACTCATAAGTGGGAGTTGAACAATGAGAACACATGGACATAGGGAGGGGAACAACACACACCCACCAGGTCCTTTAGGGGGATGAGGTCCTGGGGAGGGATAACATTAGGAGAAATACCTAATGTAGATGACGGGTTGATGGCTGCAGCAAACCACCATGGCAGGTGTATACCTGTGTAACAAACCTGCACATCCTGCACATGTATCTCAGAACTCAAAGTATGATTAAAAAAAAAAAAGTTGGTAGTAAAAAACACAAAATGTATACAAACTGGCTTAGGTAAATATTATTGACTCTATTAGGGAAAAACAACATGTGTTAAATAAATGCAAAAATACTGGTGTATCTGTGAATATAAATATTGATATGAAGATACATACATTTAATAGTCAAAACAACCTTGGGAATAATATACTATAATCATATTGTCTACCATTTACAAGTAAGGAATTTGAGTGAGGAATGATTGACTTCATTTTTTATATCAAGCAACATGGAGACAGAGATCTTTGCTTTGATCACTGATGACAGACCATGCCCAACAAGTATGTTTGAGATGGAGAAATAGCTTCTAATCATGCACTAGAATGCAAACCTGTTTCCTTTTTGCTTCAATATTCATTTTCTCTAATATACTATTTTGCTTTCATTTGAAAAAATGTACCAGTGGAGCAGAAAGAGAAAAAAATATTGATCTATAGTGCCATTTAAGGCTTGGTGGGTTAGCAGATGAAAAATACCTGACTAGGCGATTTCAGTAAAACTTTTCTGTATAGTACTTTACAGAGGACCATGCACAAATAGGCACTATCTTATTATGATAATGAATATAATTATCCAGTAAGTATAAAACTTTGTTTGTGAAAGATATTATAAGCTACACCTTGTAGAAGGCCAAAATTAGTCAACAATGGCAATATGAAGACAGTTACCAAAATATAATTTCTGGATATGTCAGGATGATATTAAGAAAATACTAAATAATATTACCAGCTTACTAAATGTATTTTTTACCAGTTACATAAACATAACTCTTATTGGCTATGTTATAGCACTGATCATTTTATAGGTCTTTCAATCATTATTCAATCAACTCAAAATATCTAAGCTATATAAATTTGTGTTACTATCCCCTTTCTTATAGAAGATAAACATGAGATGTAAAGTGAAATGAAATATGTCAGCATGGCTCAGATACAAAAATAAAATTAGAATGTAAAATACTTACTCTAACCAATCAACCCCATCTAATGGACTGCTAATTGAATGTGGTATATAATCAGAAAAGACATTTAGTTTAAAATCATTTAAAAAATATTCCAGACCTTTCTTTAATGAAGTCAGAAACTTGGATTTATAATGATATCTGAAATTAATTTATCATAATTTAAAATGAAGCAACATTCTTCTGGGTATCATCTTCCATCCTTCTGATTCATCTGTGTTGCAGAAAGAAAAATCTAGCTATAGAGCAATGATCAGAAAACGTATCAACTCATCAAGTCAATAATTTTTTTCCATGTTTCTTTTACTCCTTCTTTGTATGAGTATAATATTGTTACGTGGTTGTGCTGATTTAGTACAAATTGGCTTTCCAATTTTCTCATTTATCTTAAAAACTATTTTCATATTTTAGGTGGGTGCAAATATTTTATTGAATGATAAACATTAAAGACAAACATTAATAACATTGAAGACAAATAATTATTAATGCTTAAGCTAAGGGTTACTTCTTGGTAATAGAATTTCTAATAGTTATTGTCAGTAATGGCTAAAAAAGCTCATGGTATGTAAAAAACATGATGCCACTATACACATTGAATTCTATTTATAGCTCTATTTGTGAGCTATTGAAAAAGCTCTTAAGCTTAACTATAGTTTGTATAGAAGTATGTTTATATAGGTGATGTTTATACTGCATACACTGAGAAGTTAAATATACTATTCGTATATTATTGAACAAAGCTAAATGAAATATAAATAAATAGAGTAAGTATTGTTTCATGAAAGTACTATTAGTTTAGTAAAATGTATTCCTTTCTGTGGGTGATGTTAAATATATACATATATATATATATATATGTGTATATATATATTCCTTTCTGTGGGTGATGTTAAAATATATATATATAAAGATATTATAAAATATATATATACATATATAATATATATATAATATATTGTATATGTATAAAATATATATACACATATATATAATATATATAATACATTATATATATATATATATATTTTAACATCACCCACAGAAAGGAATATACACACACACATACACACACACACACACACATATATAATAGGAATGATAAAAGGAATATATATATAATACATATATATACACACATATACATGAAAGCCACTAATCTAAAATTCACTTTTTATTATTTCATCTAATTCACTAAATAATATTCCATCACCTTTACCCAGTTTCCATTTAAATCTATATGTGAAGTTATTGATTACAGTTATGTTCATAGGTTTGGAATTTTGATTTGATACTTGTATACAGATTCTACTTCTCTGCTGAAATCCCCCATCTTGAGATCTATTATTTTTACCATAATAACAACAGTTATTTGTAAATCTTTGTCTGAGAACTCCAGTATTGAATCATCTATGAATCTGTTTCTTTTATCTGTTTTTTTTCTCCCCTCTTGCAGTACAGCTAAACCAACCAGCCAGCTGTCTCGGGATTATTTTCTTACTGTTTTCTCTGCTGTATTTCTTTTTTTCATCCTTCTTTTTTTCCTAGTTCATTTCTATTCATACTGTAGATTCCACAAAGTTTGCTAATTTACTCATTCTATGGATGGTATGAGAGGAGTTTACATTAATGGCCATTAAAATATTTTCAAAGACCCTTTTCCTAATATTTATTTTTTGTTGTTAGTGGTTTAATTTCTGATTTCCATCTACCATTACATCAACTGAAATTGCGGAATATTTATCACATGTTGCATGTTATCATTATCTTCTCATTAATAGCATAGGTGATCAATTTATTTTTCTTATATGATCAGTTAGTTCATTGCTTAGGAAAATGAGAGAGTCTGTATTGCAACAGAATATTTCCTGTAACTACATAATAATATAAACAGTGTCTTTATTAATGTAAATATTGGGATTTAAAGTTTGGAGTATGGGCATCAAGATTCCTAAATGCAGCTGAGCACATACAATAAAATTTTATTTTTCTTTAAATTTTTAACAAGTTAAGCAACCAATTATTACTACTATCAGAAATGAGGTACTTTTAAATTATGATAAATAGAAGAGAAAAAAAGGTTTTCATTTTGAAAAAGAAAATTTGAGGTTCTTCATGTTAAAATGAAATTATGTACATAACTGTGTGTTGGGGAGTAAATTATTTTTAAGCATGTGCTTGTATAGTGTGGGTTTCAATGTGCATGTGTGTCTGTGAAACTGCCTTTGCAAAAATAACTGAGACAATTATTACAGTGAAAGAGATCTGAACTAACTGACTCCAACTTTCTTTTAACCTCCAAGCTGTGCTTGTTCATTCCTGGGCATGGGCCAGACTAACTTTGGGAGGAATTTAGTTTATAGTTTCATTTTGAAACAAAGACAATAATAACCATTTTCCAAA